GCAGGGGGTGGGGGGCAGAGGAAGAAAGAGCAGCAGACTCCCCGCTGAGCATGGAGCCCAAAGTAGGTTCCATGTCAGGACCTTGAGATCATGACCTGAGCTGAAATCAAGAGCTAGATGCTCAACCGACTGAGCTACCCAGGTACCCCTAAATTTTATTTTAAAACTTTACATAAACATTTCAAATACATTAACAAAATTAGAGAATACTATAGTGAATCCAATCCCCATGTACTTACGACTTACCTGCAATAACTATCACCAACTTACTAAGTTTCTTCTATCTACATTGTCCTACAGCAATGCCAGAGGTTTAAAAGCAAGTCCCAAATATCATTTCACAGCACCCTTCCATATTTCAGTGTACACGTCTACTTGGTAAGGCCTTTAAAAAAATTACAATCACAAAATTATAAGTCATGATTATATTAACAAAGGTAATGCTGTAATATTTATTATTTATTTATTTTTAAAAAGATTTTATTTATTTATTTGACAGACACAGATCACAAGTAGGCAAAGAGGCAGGCAGAGAGAGAGGGGGAAGCAGGCTCCCTGCTGAGCAGAGAACCCAATGCGGGGCTCGATCCTAGGCTTTAACCCACTGAGCCACCCAGGCGCCCCGGTAATGCTGTAATATCTAATAGTCAACCTGTGTTCAGTTTCCCCAATGGTCTCAAAAATATCTGGTTGACTCCTAATTTCAAATCAGGATCCAAACAGGGTTTATATATTGAATTCTGTTGATTTGAAAAGTAGGACTTTTGGTCTCAGTTTTAGCTGAGACCTAAGACTGAAAACAATAGCTACACCTCATTTCAAGGTGAGGTACTGCACCACCATGTCACGCAAAAGGGGCGTTTTAAAACTGGCTTTAAGATCCTTAGTCCAATACCCACCTCAGGCTCATGAGAGGATTTCTTCCAGGAAAAGTGGTTGGAGAGCTGTGGTTTTCCCTCTTCTCCCCTTTCCCACTATGGTCGAGAGAAATCAGGTGTTTTCCCTTCACCACGTACCCACTTGAGAGGGTCTTTAAAAGAATCCCCCTTTTTTTGAGAGCTTGGCATTTACTCCTTGGAGCTAGAAGGGATTGGTATTTGGTTCATACCTGAGGAAGGTAAAGAGGAGAGGCTGTGGCTGGAGATGATCTGTCTGATGCCTGCCAAGACAGCAAAAAAAGGCGTTCAAATTCAGAGCAAACTGCAACTTCTCAGTGGTAGGGCAGACATAGGAGCCCCACAATTAGATGTGACAGGAAGGAGGGATCTGGTCCCGTGTTCATGTTAGAGGGGATCCCACCCATGCATTCTTCTTGCTGGGGGCTAGTCTCCCAGCAGAAAGGGGTTGGAGGTGTAGCATTCAATACAGAAGTTGGGATGGGGTGTGTATGCACGTCCAAAGTATAGGCGTTGTCCATCAGGAGAACAAAAGTTGGGAATTTCTGGTGGGGGAAAAGCTCTGAATCACCCCAGAAAGGTTCCTTCACAAGAACTACTCGGCTTTGAGTATCTACCAAACCTGAAGAGCCCAAACTAGATTCCGGAAGTATGACTTTTTTCCAATTCGCATGCAGGCAGGGAGAAACTGATGTAGGGAAGTAGCAACCATGTCCTCTCCCCTCTCTAGCAATACCAAGCTAGGAGAGGGAAGTGACTTTTTTTTTTTTTTTTTTTTTTTAAGGATGTCATTTATTTGACAGAGGCAGAGAACACAAACGGGGGAGAGGCAGGCAGAGGGAGACAGAGAAGCAGGCTCCTGGCTGAGCAGGGAGCCCCAACATGTGGCTGGATCTCAGCATCCTGGGATCATGACCTGAGCCAAAGGCATACACTTAACTGACTAAGCCACCCAGGTGCCCTGAGGGAAGTGACTTTAATGATAAATGTACTTCTGAGTTTTGAGTATCAAATTGGATTGTGATAAAGAAAAATTGGTGGAAACCCGGGGCAGAATTTCCTTCTGGGAAGAAATATGCTTTCCTGATAAAATGCTTAAGCAATTTTCTGATAATTTGTAATGAGATTAAAGCCTCTTCTGGGAAACTAGCTACTTTCTCACCTGACTAATAGTCTGACCTCTAATGATCTTGAATCTAGTTTAGTTTTAATTATCTAGCCATCTGTCTATAAAGTATTCCGTCCATTAAAAAAAAAAAAGTATTCCATCCATGAGGGAATCATGGAGTTGGTTCGTTTAGGCCTCTTCAATTGTGGAAGTTAACAGTATGTATTCTGTTGACTCCTGCTCTTTTAACATAATTATTATAAAACCATTTCAGGGGTAGAAATATGTTGATGGATAAAGTAATTCTGGTTGTCCCTGAAATTAACTATACCTTAGTAGCAAATTTCTGAGAAATCACACTCAACTGACACTTTGTGGTGATGAATTAAAGATTTATAGGTGGAACCTCCTCAGTTCAAATGTCTTTTGGGTACAGAGACTATATTGTCTGTCCCTACTTCATAGGTTCTGGGGCCTAGTCATTTTTTACTCTTATATTATGTAGGCAGGATTTCCCTTTTCTATATATTACCTTAAACATGATCCTACATCACACACAAAAAGTTCAAGAAACCCTTGAACTTTAGAGTTCTTAAAGAGTTCAAGAAACCAACTGATTTTGCTAGGTTTTAATTTCAACGAGCAGTAACACAAAGCCTAGTTATTACAAGGCTATTGCTCAGGTTACAAAATGAAAATTTTCTTCTAATTGAATCCCGTAGTGTATGTGAAGCACCTGCTTACATCTGTTGATCAGAAGCCAAACAGTCATACACTCATACGGTGTTGTTAGTGTTACAGGGAAATGGGTGCAGCCCTTTGAAAAACCACTTGGCAATATGTATCAAGAACAGTATACATTTATACAGTTTGGGTATTCTAACTCTATTCTAAATAATTAAAAAATATGGAAAGGAAGCTCTGTGCATGAATATTTTCCTCATAATATTTTTTACAGTAATGAAAAATTAAAAGTTATAAAATATTTTTTGGAAAGGCTACAATATGGAAAAAGAAAGAATAAAAGTTGAATTTATGCTATGTTTTTAACTACTTAAAATATATATATATGAGAGAATACACAAATGATAAAGGTTGTGTTATGATTTTCTCCATTTAAAAAAAATTCTCTATGCATGGATGTTTCTATTATTTAGAATTAGCTTAAATATTAAAAATATTTGCTTTAAATTTTTAAAGTCTTAGAATTACTTATTATTGGCAATCCATGCTGAAACAGTACATAAAAATGCCTGTTTACTAATGTTCTGTAGTTGGCAGACCCAAAATACTTTAGCTAAGCAAATGCCAATTGTTGCTATATGCATTTCTATTTGCGGTTATCTAATTGTTGCCATAGCATTTCTAAAATTACAATAAAGCTACATAATAATTGGCAGGTTTACTCTTGGGTAAATGTAGAGAAAACTCAAGACTAAGAAAATGTCAACCTCATCAGTGACAGGATTAAGGATAGTGACAGGATCTCAACCTAATTTGAGTTTTACTTCTTGGATGGCACAGTACTAGCCATCTAGGAAGACACTAAATAATTATTATGAAATAATTATATGGATGAAATAATTAGGATGAAATCTGGTTAAGTACTTGCACAAACAACTAAACAGGATAGAGGAAGATTTGGGAGTAGGAGGAAGTATTCTAGATAAAGTAGATCCAAGAGTGAAGGGTTTTTTGTCTTTTGGGTTTTTTTTAAGGTTAGGTTATGTTCAGAGAGGTAAAAAATCCAAAGTGCCTTGACTATACCTTACTTATAAACTATAGAATAATCTGTGGATGAGGATAAGCAGGTAATAAGAGGTTAGTGGAGGCTGGAGACCTTCAGTTTTATTCAGAATGCAACATAGAGACTCTGAAGAAAAGCCATTGAAAAAAATCCATGTTGATTCTAGAATCTGCATGGAATAAACTGGAAGGGAAGGCGTAAGTTATGAGGTCTCTGCAATAAAGCAGTATCTTCGTTACATAAAATTACCTGAATTAGCACTTCCAGAATATATTTTACTTTAAAACGTTTCAACCAAATCCCAAACAAGTTTTGGATGATTTTTGGTGTTCCCTAACAGATCTGGCACATAATATTGAATCAGACTGCGGAGGATTATTTTAACTCTGTGGCCAGATGCAGAGAAATATGGAAAGGTATTGAAGCCAACAAATATGTTGAGAAATGCAAATTCTCATAAGTAGAAAGATTCGGAATTCTAGAAGACAGCAGCTTATCAATAGCTGTATCCAGATTCTTTGGAGTGGTGGGCTGCTTTCAATTAAGACTTCATAACAGTTCACCATGAAGCAAAATTCTCTAAGTACAAAGTGCCTTAACCTTGTAGGCAACTGGGATGTTACTGAACAATCAAGACCATAAAAAAGCTATGTAAGTCAACAGCAGACAAGACGATTACTTTCCTCCCCGTTCCAACTAGGATATAACAGGTTAGATTTTTTTTAAGTTTCATCCTTGAAAATATCACAGTCTACAAAGAATATGGATTCAGGCCCCAAACCTTTCTGACTCAACACTGAGGTGAAGAGGATGCAGACAAGAATTGGCTCAAAATCGCCAAATAGACTTGGCAGTCGCCTAAACATTTCATAAAATCAACTCACTAACCAATACCCTCAACCACCAAGCTAGCAGATCTCTCATTTCAAAAGCAATCACGTTTGGTTACCAAACTTGACATCTGGGCACGAAATCCGGCTTTTATTGACTTAACACTGAGAAATGAGCCCCGAGGTTAACTGAATCGCAGAGAGTGCGAAAGCGGCGCATCCCTCGCGGGGAAGCCAGTCTGGTTCCACAAGGGAGGGCAGGACAAGGAAGAAGGCTTCGCCGCCGGTGGCTGAGCTCTCTTTCCCTCTAGTGTCCTTAGCTGCCCCCGTTCCCGGCACCCGCCGTTCATTTGCCGCCTTCCAACGCGTGACCCCGGCGCGCTCGCGTCCTGAGCCGGTGACAGGCGCGGGGTGCGCCGAGAGATCCCATGTGCCCCCTCCCTCTCCTGGCTGCCTCAGTCGCTGCGTCCCGAATCCCGCTCCGGCTCCTCGGCAGAGAACTTGCTACCGCCGCCGCCATGTCTGCCGCAGGGCGACTCAAAACCGTGGACTACGAAGTGTTCGGGAGAGTGCAGGGTAGGGGACCGCCCCCCTACAGTGGGAGATCAAGGAAGCGTTGGGGGAGGACGGGGAGAAAGCTACTAGAAGCGCCACCCATCTTAACGAACCCCCCACCCCCAACTCGCTCCCCAACTTGCTGTGGCCGAGACTTCCGCTCTGCCATGACACAGCAGACGCGGGAGGCCAAGAAAGCGAAGCGCGCCTGCGCCGTAGAGCCGGGGTGGGCGGGGTAGGAGAGTGGAGAACGCGGGGGGCGGGGGCGGGGGCGGAGTGGGGTGTGAGGGGAGGGAGAAAAGCGATCGCTGGGCATTCCGAGCCCGCTGGGTGAAGGGGTGTGCGGTCGGGGCTGGCGGGCAGAGAGGGAAAGAACAAGATTGGGTAGGAAAGGAAGAGAGGGCCTTTGAGCTAGTGATCCTCGTTTGATGCCACTAAAACTACTGGGCTGACCTGAGTTTCAGAAAGGACACTTCAATGATGTTTGATGGTTCACGTTGCCAGAGATTACACTCCTTACCTCGCCGCGCCAATGTAGCTCCTAAAAAAATTAAGTTATCTAATTTTTGTTTCATCCTAAATTTAAACAGTTGCAAAGCATATAATGTCTGGCTTATTTTTACTATTGTTATTTCTAAATGTTAAGTCACTCACATTTATCCAATGGAACATAAGTATGGCGGTGATTTACTATTTACCATTATTCATTTAAATTAAAGCTTTTATTATTATTATTATTTTTTTTTTTTAATTTCTTTTCAGTGTAACAGTATTCATTGTTTTTGTACCACACCTAGTGCTCCATGCAATCCGTGCCCTCTCTAATACCCACCACCTGGTTCCCCCAACCTCCCACCCCTGCCCCTTCAAAATCCTCAGATTGTTTTTCAGAGTCCATAGTCTCTCATGGTTCACCTCCTCTTCCAATTTCCCTCAACTCCCTTCTCCTCTCCATCTCCCCTTGTCCTCCATGCTATTTGTTATGCTCCACAAATAAGTGAAACCATATGATAATTGAGTCTATCTGCTTGACTTATTTCACTCAGCATAATCTCTTCCAGTCCTGTCCATGTTGCTACAAAAGTTGGGTATTCATCCTTTCTGATGGAGGCATAATACTCCATAGTGTATATGGACCACATCTTCCTTATCCATTCGTCCGTTGAAGGGCATCTTGGTTCTTTCCACAGTTTGGCGACCGTGGCCATTGCTGCTATAAACATTGGAGTACAGGTGGCCCTTCTTTTCACTACATCTGTATCTTTGGCGTAAATACCCAGTAGTGCAATTACAGGGTCATAGGGAAGCTCTATTTTTAATTTCTTGAGGAATCTCCACACTGTTCTCCAAAGTGGCTGCACCAACTTGCATCCCCACCAACAGTGTAAGAGGGTTCCCCTTTCTCCGTATCCTCTCCAACACATGTTGTTTCCTGTCTTGCTAATTTTGGCCATTCTAACTGGTGTAAGGTGGTATCTCAATGTGGTTTTAATTTGAATCTCCCTGATGGCTAGTCATGACGAACATTTTTTCATGTGTCTGATAGCCATTTGTATGTCTTCATTGGAGAAGTGTCTGTTCATATCTTCTGCCCATTTTTTGATATGATTGTCTGTTTTGTGTGTCTTGAGTTTGAGGAATTCTTTATAGATCCTGGATATCAACCTTTTGTCTGTACTGTCATTTGCAAATATCTTCTCCCATTCCGTGGGTTGCCTCTTTGTTTTGTTGACTATTTCATTTGCTGTGCAGAAGCTTTTGATCTTGATGAAGTCCCAAAAGTTCATCTTCGCTTTTGTTTCCTTTGCCTTTGGAGACATATCTTTAAAGAAGTTGCTGTGGCTGATTTCAAAGAGGTTACTGCCTATGTTCTCCTCCAGGATTCTGATGGATTCCTGTCTCACGTTGAGGTCTTTTATCCATTTTAAATTAAAGCTTTTTAAAGTCGGGAAATTTTACATCATACCTTTCCTCTTTTGAGTTTGATTTCCGTTCTACTTCCCCCACAGAATTTGATCCCATTGTTATGTTTGAGACTTTCTTACCGATCACCCTATCAAGCTTTTTTGTAATTTGTATGTATAGTATGTATGTGTGTATATATATACTTATACATTTAGATATATTTTCTTGATTTTCTTTGGCCATAAAGCTCTATTATTTTTTTTTTCCCCTTCTGGCGTGAGTTGCTATTGTGGCTATTATTGGAACACTATCAGGAAGTTAAAAATACATTTAAAGATATGATAAACATTATTCAATTTAAAAGGAAAGTTTGTATCGGAAATTTATTCCTTAAGGAGAAATCTGGGGGTATTTATGGAACATTGATTAAAGGATGTGTACTCTATTTTGGTACACTAGAGGTTTTTACACTTTAGGGTGATGCACAAGGTCAGATCAAAGAAGGGCAAGAGTATGCTTTTTGTAATTCAATGGGCCTTCCTTTCAAAGATAGCTGTGAAAAGAAAGGTAGGAAAGGAGAACCACCTCAGAGCACAGGTGCTTTCTCAGGCCCTTGTCAGGAAAGAATACATGTGAAAGTTGAAGATCTGGAAATCGATTTGCTTAAAATTATCCATGGCCTTGTACCCTATAGAAAGCCTTTGGGTACACCCAACGGTCTGATATTGTGGATTGAAAACTGCAGTAAGTCGTTGGAAGCAATGGAATATGAAAATGGTGGCAGAGACCATCTGACAAAATATTTGGTCATTTGGATAGAAATGGCAGTAGTTAAGGAGTGCATGCATGTGTGTGTGCAGGTGACATTTATGGGGTATGTTCCATGTGCTGAGCATCTTACTATTCTTTACTTAATCCTCATCACAATTTTGTGAGATTTATGTCTCACTGCTGTTTTCACAATGAGAAAGCAGAAATGGAAAGGTTCACTAAGTTGGACAAGTCCTGAGTTGACAAATGGAATTTGATCCTGCATCTCTCAAATTCTAAAACCTGCACTTTTCCATTATGCAGTGTTTTTCTGTTAATATATAATGTGTTTCTCTTGATTTTAACAATATAATTATACTTTTTGTGCATATGGTGGTTGTGTGGTATGTGAAGATCAATTTTGGGCAGCATTACAAATATAAGAAAGAAATGTACTACACATAAGCAGTGGGATTTTAAAAAGTCAGCTTTAGGGCTAACTCCCATAGTTTGCAGTATGTTCAATGGAAGAGTACATGTATACTATTGATTTATCAAGACATAGTTTGTAAGACAAATTCACAATCACATGTTTGCACACATATACACTGACATTTGCTGAGAATTTAGGATGTGCCAAGCTTTGTACTCAATGTTTTACATGAGTTGTCTCATTGAATCCTCAACCCTGTTGTGATCTCAACATTTCCCTCATTTAACAGGTTGAAAAATTGTGGCATGGACAATTAACTTTCCCAGGTTATGCAGTGAGTTAAGTGGTGGTGCTGGGATTTGAACCTTGACAGTTTGATATTAGAGCCCAAGCTCTTCTTAATCATTATAATCTATTGATTCTCCTCTCAATACTTTTCCATCTTTATTTTGCCTTCTTCCTAACTAATGCACCAAACGCATATACATATATACACTGATGTAGGACGTTGGACTCAGCCATTTGTACGATTCTGGATGACCCAGAGGGTGTATTTATAGTAGTTTGGCTCCAAGGAAGTTTGACCTGGTCTATAAGCAATCAGACCTATGCCTCTTTCTCCGTTGCTGGCTGACACTGCCACTATTTCATCAGTCTGTATCTCTGTCTTATAAAATCCACTATGTTCTCATGGATTACCTCAGAAATAAATACAACCATTAGCCTTCTGTCTGAGTCTTAATGATGATGTTGAAATAATGGACAATAATCAAAATAAAATTTAATTTTAATATAAAATGGATAATAATTAGAGGGAACATTGCTAATTTAACTTTTTAAAATATGAAATAAAATCTTAGTGAAAGCTGGCTTGCTAGAAATAATGGCTATGAAAATAAATTTACAATGGAAGTAGCTATAATTGGGAATATTTAATATGGACAAAACAGATTGACAAATAAAATTGTCAGTAAAATATTTAAATGGAAAATATTCCTGATGAAGATGGTTTCAGTGATAGCAAAATGAACATAGAAGATATGGAAAATGATTTAATTGTCCTGTCCTGATGAAAAATTGGTCAACGAATTAACTGACTTGCTGGAGTTTATGATAGAAAATATTTTCCAGGGGCACCTGGGTGGCTCAGTGGGTTAAGGCCTCTGCTTTCGGCTCAGGTCGTGATCCCAGGGTCCTGGGATCGAGCCCCACATCGGGCTCTCTGCTCAGCGGGGAGCCTGCTTCCTCCTCTCTCTCTGCCTGCCTCTCTGCCTACTTGTGATCTCTGTCTGTCAAATAAATAAATAAAATCTTAAAAAAAAAAATTTTTCCAGCCAAAAAGTTTGTTATATTTCTGTTTAGAATGTTTGAATTTGAGACATCCTTGGTGACAAAAGGCAGTCAAGATATTCTAGGGGTCGAGTATTACCTGCCTTGTTCTCAAATACACACAGCCTAATTTACAAACAGATTGTATTCCAAGAATTAGATAACTTGGTTGTTTGAAATTCAGGAACATACACTTATAGAAACAATATTACCAATAGTGGATTCACCTCTCAGTTTCTCCTGCAAAGTTTACGTAGAGAGCCTTTGATTGCTGTTGCTTTCATTGCCACATCTCTAACTCTACCTTTTTAAAAAATAAATATGTTTTAGAATAGTTGCAAATTTATAGAAAAGTTGGAAGATACCCCATATTCAGTTTCCTTAATTAACATCTTACACTAGTATAGTACATTTGTCCCAGCTGGTGAGCCAACACTGATACATTATTATTAACTAAAGTCTGTATTTTATTCAGATTTGTTTAGTTTTTACCTGAGGTCCTCTGTCTGTTGCAGGATTCATTAGGATATCGCTTTACATGTAGTCATCCTGTCTCCTTAGTCTTCTTTAGGCTGTGACAGTTTTGTAGACTTACCTCGTTTTC